GTGGCCGCCGAGTCAACAGCAGCCGTACGTGATTGATACGGCGGTCGGATCGGCAAATATTGAGCGCCGGCCAACTCGGCCGCCGGTGTCCGGCAGAGTCAGGGTCCGGTTTGCCGGGTGCACCGCGGCCTCGGCCGCGGTCGCGGCAGGCCCGCGGCGCGAGCGAGCGCGCCTCTTCCTCATCCCCGATCGAACAGCGGCCCCAAACAGCGCCGGCACACAGCGGACCGCCAGCCGACCAGCGCCGCGACGTCTCTCGGGAGACCGCAGCTATGTTTTCTCCCGAACGCCCGTGTGGAGTTGGGAGGCGGCGCCAGCCGTGACCAGCGCCAGTAAAGCACGCCCAACATTACGAGCGGGTAGCCCAGTAAAGCTTGGGAACGGCTCCCGCTTCCGGGGAGGGGAGGGCAGACGCCGGCAGCCTGGCAACACGGCGTGCGCCAGGACTACGGGGACCAGACACGCCATCGGGATCACCTCTTACTCCACCACCCGACCAACCGTCTGGCCCGCCTCGCCCGGACGCCTGCCCGCCGTGGCATTCTCTGCAGACGGCGCTGGCGTTGTGACAGGGTGGAGCCCTCTGCCCAGGCCTAGCCGCCCCGCTCTGCATGACGACAGCGGCAGCGGCAGACTCCAGCGTGACCTCTGTGAGAGGCGCGCGTCCGCGCCCAGCCGCCCCGCTCTGCGTGGCGGCAGCGGCAGCGGCAGACTCCAGCATGACCTCTGTGAGGCGCGCGTCCGGGTGCGGCCGGCCGGGGCGGGGGCGCCGACGGACGGCCAGGCGTGGGCCGCCCGGCGGCCACTCGACGCCGCGTCGTGCGAAGCGGTCTGCCGAGAGGGCGCCGTGGGCCGCTGTGGGCGGCAGCGAAAACACTCGGCCAGCCGGCGCCCGGCCGCCCACCCGACCACAACCGGTCGCCTCTCGGGTGCCGCCAGTCCCAACAGCGCGCCAGATCCTCCGGTCTGAGGTGACCCCTCCGCGGCTCAGTGACGCTCAGCGAAGCTCCGCCCCGGCGGGGTCACCCACCAGAGGACAGGAATCTCGCCGGCATCGCGGACACTCGGCGCCTCATCCCGGGGCGACCGAGCGTCGCCAGGCGGACGGCGGCGCCGGCGCCGCGGGCGTGCGCGCCGCCGGCTGGAGCGGCGCCCGCCTGCAGGGCGCCGCGGCCGTAACGGGCGGCGCGTCCGAGCGCAGGACCGACCGCGTCGCCGCCCGACCCTGGCCGCGGCGAATGGGCGCCGTCGAGCATGACGCTTTGTTTGGGGCACTTGTCGCGCGAAAGTTCCGACAATTTTCCACATGTGTGAATAACGGCGACAGAGGAGCCGAAGAGGAGCGGAGCGGCGCGACGGGCGTCCGGCCGCCAGCCAGCCAGCCACCCGGCTGCAAGCGCGCTTGCGCGGCACAGCACATTATGGGACAGCGCGCATGCGCGGAGTAACGGACGACCAGCAACGCACAGCGCTCCGCTGCCAGCACATAACCACTACGTCAAGTGAGCTAATTGCCACCTGTAGTGAATTATGCTTATGAAGGGTGATATACGAGGAATACGACTCCCAACAGCACCGCAATGAGCACCCCCAGCAAATCCCATTACGGGCCAGCTATGAATATTCGCGATAGTTGGCTGTGAACAACGAACGTTCCCATATTGATGTATTTATAGAGCTCACGACATGGCAAAGCAGTCTTGGGCAACGTAACAGTTCCCTGCGCAAGTACAATGACCAGCAGGTGAACGCAACATGTGCGCGTTGGCGTCTGGTCGAGACTGCCACGCATCTGTTACATGCCCTGTACGTCAGGTCACACAGCGACGACCGCGGCGCCGAGACGGCTCTCAAATCAACACGACACGTACCCAGCTCTGTTGTGTCTGGTGACGGAGGCTAATGACTGGGCCGTGAACCAGTTACCGAATCTGAACTCGATCAGAAACGAATGCATCAAATTCCAATGCGAACGACAGAGCATAGCTCGGAGAGCTTGGTCATGGACAACCAACTTAAAAACACCTCGTTCTGCCGGCACACCCGTACCGTCGCTGGTGCATTGACCAAATAAAAGATCCCAGTAGCACAGGGATTATGGCAGAGTTTTACTGTTGTGTCAACGTTAACCGTCGTTATCGCAAAACAACGTCATTAAAACACACTTCAGCAAAACCAACTCAACAAGTGACTGACGCCGCCGTTCACAGCAGGGTTCGCGGTGACGTGCCTCGCGCTCACTTTCTTAACGAAGAAAGATGGCTGGAAGGACTCCTTGCAACTTTCCGCCAAGCCAGTACTCTACCAATTCAAAATGCAATGACTCAAATGAAATGAAACACAGCGTATCTATGCACTGAGTTCCATGGCAGCGTCAAGTTTGCTCAGCTGATGAGAACACCGCAGACATGCGACAAAGAGGGCGTTTACAATGCGGCTGCAGACTGCTCAGAAGTTCGTCTGTCAGGAAAACACACGGACACACGGATAACCGGAAGAAGCAACCTCCCCCTTGAAGACAGCCTTTGCGGCGACAATACAGACGCATTAATTTAGACGGAAACGCAACGGCAGCGTTGACATCTGAGCACCAAAGTTATTTTTCTCCCGGCTGATTCCAACGGGCACGTCACAGGCACGTAACACCACCGAACATTTAAGCCCTACCACACTTCCAAGACACGCATGTGCCACAGTTTCGACAGATATATGCTCCCCGGAAATATCTCAATCATTCGAGCCGGGGACATTAATATTTGAAAAAAATCCCCGTGACATCTTAACCATTCGAGCGGGGGACATTAAAATCTAGGAGTTCTAGACGACCCCACATATGCAATGCTCAGTCCGGAAACAATCGGGCCCAGACGCCTTCAAGCACACCACAAGTTCAACCGACACCCTGGTCTCCCTCTGGTGCGCTCCTGACGGCTTTTCTGGCACGGCACCCGAGGTAACTAACTTGACACGTACCACCGCCGGCAATGGGGGCTTCCGGAGAAAACGATTCGGGGTCAGAAATCATCATTATTACAACAACATCTGCAATCGCATTTTTGCGTGTTTTATTTTCTCGTACTCCATACCGCCTTTTCATAATTTCTCATCGGATCTCCCGTCACTTACTAGCGTGAGCCGCTGCCAAAAATGGGCCATAAACTGTGCTCATCGCACCACTTCCTTTTCCGGCAGCCGCACAGTCGGAAGCTAGTGGGTTGCGCCACAGCTGCAGGATAAAATGAGGAACACGCCGCGGACCACCCCAAATAAATCAATACCTGTACTCTTCATGGGGTGTGGCGCGCGACCCCAAGCAGTGCAGAATACCAGTTGCCGATCTGTACGCCGCGGACGCGTCCCCAGCCTGGCTCGAGGGGCCCAGCTATCGCCTCGTCAGACTCGCTCGGCACTTGTCGTTTTAGAGGAAAACGGCAAACCTCATGCCTCATGTAATGTCGAAGGCAATTCCAAAAGCAGAGACTGTCAAACTACGGAAAAAAGGGGCTACATGCTTATCGAGTGAAGCAGAACAACCGTTGCATTTTTGTATACCTTGTTTCCCAGAGCACAGGCATCTCCCGCTAGAAGGCAATAGTTACGCGGAAGCCCGTTGTCATTCACCAGAACGGAAGGTAAATAATGGAAGCCGCTGTACTTGCTTTCGGTGCAATCCAGAGATCGGCAACAGCAGAGCGATTCTGATCGACGATTTGTTCACTGTCCGTCGCCAACCGTGCACCCACGGGCATCCAACATTGGATACACCATCCGCCGCTGCGCTCAACAGCCTCCACTGTGCCACGAGACGGTGGCTCGGCCCCGGTTCGAGCACCCAGCCTGTCGGTCTGTTGACGCCTCACACCAGGCAGCGCGACAGCGGCGGCCGGCGCCGGCTGGGCGGCGGGCCACCCGCCGCGGCTTCCGCACCACACAAGCGCGCTCGGACCCCGAGCCGCACGGCCGAGTGTAAATAGCCTTTGCGACTGGACGCGCCCGTGAGAACTGATGAACGGCCGATTGCATGCACGATGGCGCCCGCCCATGACGAATGACGCGGCGGCACGGCACGCCATCACACTTTCCCGATACACCGATGCCGCTAATGAACACATTCGCTGGACGCACGGCAGGGCCGCGTCCGGCGCCGGCTCGGCGGTCGTCGGCTTCGGCTCCCGTGAGAGCCGACACAATTGCTGAACATTCAGACCAGCCGAATGCAAAATAGCAGGCTTTCGCCGTCTCTTTACCGACAGGGGAATGTTCGCGGTGGGCTTATTTTTGCCTTTAATTTGGCGAGGCCAACGCCGACACAGGACGTGGGTCATCATTAATAAGCTTCACGATTAGCCTCATTGTGACGTGCAAGAATACGAGTGTAAATGAACACTAGCTGCCTGAAATGTTTTAACCTACGAGTTGTACCAGGAGGCATGTTACATTTTACAGCCGCTCCCAAATTACATTCGCTTCGCAAACGGTAAACGCCCTGTCACTTGTTGCCAATATATCCCAACCACTTTGAGCATCGTCTTACACAACTGTGTCAACACATAGTCATACACGACAGACCCAGATTCACAATCAGATTCAGACCCCGACTCCCACCAAGAGCAGACACCCACATTTCGCATCACAGCATGTCTGCCACGGCCCCCAGTTGGCGCGCCGTGAGCCCTAGGTCAGCACGAGCTCGGCGGCGACCGGGGCGGTCACTGCCGACCGGCGGCAGGACAGGCCGGAGCCGTGCGCTCGGACGGCGCCCGCACGTCGTCGACGCCGCCCACCGCGCCGGCGCCGACGCTCCGCACCGGCCGACAGTGGCTGCCACGGCCGCCAGCGGCCGGGCGCGCTGCACCGCGCTCCTTAGGAAAGAGGCCGTCACACTGCACGGCGGCCTCCCGTGGGATCCAGCGAGCGGGACGGGCCGCCGTCGGCGGAAAACCCCGGCCGGCTGCGCCGCCGGCGGCGGGCCCCGCTCCGCTCTGCCCGCCTCTACAAACCGAGTGCGTCGGGATCCGCCGCCCGTCGGTCCGCGTCGGCGACGCCACGCCGCTGTCGCCACCGCCGCACCGCACAGCACTGCCGGCACCCCGAGCCGCCGCCACCAGCGCACTGCGCACGCACCGGCTCCACGCGCCGCGCGCTACCGTGGCGCGGCCGGCGCTCGACGCCAACTGCGGCCGTCAACACGTGCGGCCGCCGGCGGCGCCCGGCCGGCTCGCAGACCCCGCCCGCCGCGCCGCCGCCGCCCGCCGCACCGCCACTAAGCCGGCATAACTCGGCTGTGTCGTTTGTAATTATTTGCGGTGGCCGTAATGGGCCCGCCTCATGCAACCGCCCGATGATAATATGTAACTAAACAGCAATTACCGGGTATCCATCAATGTGGCCGACTTTGCAAATGCTTTCGCGACAAGCCATGCGTACGTCGGCGAGCGACGGCGCGGCGCGGCGTTCCCAGCGCGGTCCGCGCGGCGGTCGACGCCACACGAGAGCCCGGCACAGCTGCGCCCCTTGCAACGGCGACCCCGCCCAGCCATCGGGGCCCATCCGCCGCCGCCTCCCCACCCACCGGATGCCCGTGATTGATATACTGGCGGTGATGCCGTGCAGCGGGCGGACTCGCCGACCGCGCCGACGGTCCGCCGTCAGACCAGCACCGACGGCGGCTCGGCGGCCCACCTGGACGCCCGGAGCCGGCGCACGCGGGATGTGCACCAGCACATGGGGCGAAACCGACCCTGAACACGGCGGCGCGGCGTGGCGCGGCGACAGTGGGGTTTTCCCGGCCGCGGTGGGCGCGCACGCGCCGGCACCGCCGGCCGGCGAGACCAGCCCACTTTCAGGCGCCGGTGGCGTCGGCCCGCGGCACGCCACCGCTCTGCAGGCCCGGCTGGTCGGGCCACGGCACACGCCAGCGGCGCCCCGGTAGCCGAGCGGCGCGCGGCCCGGCCCGCCCCACCTGGAGGACAGCGGCGGCGGAGTGGCCGCAGCACTCGGACCGCCGGCACGCTCGGTGCTGGTCACGCGCTGACGCTGATGCTGACCCGAGCCACTGAGCTCGGTGCGGGGCCGGGTGGGGCCGAGAAGCGGGAGGCAGTGAGCGGCGCGCCCGCCCTGCCGCCGGCGCCCCATGCCGCGGCGCCCGGTCCAGCCGCCGACCGGCCGCTCCGCAGGCTACTCGTGTCCCGCCGGCGCCGTGATAAATGCGCCGAGGTCATTCACATACGTATTATTAATATCCCGTCAGTGTGCATCGGATAGAAATGTTGCAAAAAACTACGGCGCGCAACAGCCCCGGAGCGGCGCCCTATAATTAGCGGTGCTTGTATAGATATGTGTAGATTTGTCATACGGCAGACGGCGGGGTCACCTTTTCAGGCTGATAATAAGGTACAATCGGGAGCAAGGGCAATGGCCTGTAGGTCCCCTGGGGCCACGGGGCGCGTCGTTTATAACCGGACGTAAATACATGCAAGGGGAACTGGGGGCGGGTAACAGCCGGGCCCGTGCCGGCGCAGCAATCGCACCGAGCTTCCCACGCGACCACCGACCGCAGCGCCGCCCACCGGCGACCGCCGACACTAAAGTCAAGCTCAGTCGCCTCAATGGATTTGGTGGCAAATGCGTACAGAGTGGCGGAGAGAGCGCGAGAGGGGACGAGGTGCCGACAGGGGGAGGGGAGACGGCGCTTCCAACACACCCTTGCCAATCATGTTCTGATCCTAACATTTCGTCGTCATGTATCTCAAATACTGGAGCAGCCCCGCACCTCTTGTAACAAATCGCCTCGTCGCGATGTGACTAAGATCACGCGAATCCGTTAGTATAACCTTCATAACGCCTTCTTATTGCTCTTAAATGTACCTAGACGACGTAAAATATGACACAGCATCGAAGGCGTCGTTTCCGTATACACGCATTGCAGCCGGTGGGCTCATTAAGCATTACTGGCCGAGAGCAGCCCGAGTATCCTCGGTCGGGGTGCTGAGGATGTCACCCACAATATAAATAAATCAATACACAAAACCAGAGAAGTGGCATGTTGCTATCAACACGATGACTCGCTCAAATAATGCATTTATTGTGCTGCAACTGCACCCCCCGAAATGCGCAGTACTATCATAGACGCGTCGAAGTTTAAGTTAGCAGTTGAGCTAACACTTCACAACCGATCTGACTCCCTCAGCAAGCCACCTTGCGGGGCGATTAATGGCATCTTGAACTAAAGCACCTAATGTAGTCTGTCGGCCGCCGACGGCCATCAGATAGTGGGGCGGCCCGGGCCAAATCGGGCGGGACACTGGTATCCCACGCCACTCACGGGCCGCCTTACCAGTCCGGTCAGCCTCCAAGCCTCGTCGCTGAGGGTCAGCCAACGGTGCCCGACGCCTCACAACATCCTCCATGACGCCTGGCGCCGGCGTCCCACTCCCCTCAGCGGCCGTCCGACGGCGAGACAGTCAGCGGGAGACGACACTGCGACTCGCACCCAATAGAACACTGCGTCCGAAGAATGTCAGACACCCGCGGTATGCACGGGAAGTAGACACGTGGACTGCTCCTGCCGCGCCAGACTTATGTCCGCCCGTCCCACGGGAGCCACTGCTCCGCAGAACTCCTACTTTATTTTCGTGGTTATGTTGTTCGGTCTCCAGGCCCACTGTGCACTCGCCCAGCACGCTTTCCCAAATTAAGATTACATAAGATCAATTCAGCCTTACCCAATGATACGTGCATGACTCCTATGAAATGACATGGGGTAAAATGTTTGTCCACGGCAGCTTCTAAGTTACTACAGGCGTTCGAAGTGAGCATTGTCAGGATCCGAGCTCATAACAAGCGGAGCTTGTTGCTGCAGTCCCTGTTGTCCTCCTGGTCTACGACTGCCCAAGGATGCGAAGTACGTCCAACCAGGTGGAAACTACCGCAGGACCCGGGCCAGGCGCCCTTGTCACGAAAATAAGACATGTCTGGCGAAAACCATATGACATTTCTCCATCCAAGGCGCTTACAACCTCGCGTGACAGTACGGCGCCCGAGCTACTGTACGACTGGCTGGCGATCATGCATGACAGAAAACCACCACCGGCTCTGCCAGTGCCTGACGCTGCACCTTCATCAGTGACCACAGCGACAACTGTGTTTATTTTCACGTCTTCGCAATCAGTTTCCGTGGTACGTTTACATCACATATCCAATGCATGACTTAAACAATCAGACAGCGGCCACTCCTCGCCCCGACTTGCCTTCAGCTCCCCCAGATGCGAAGAATAATTAACCAGATACGGGAGGGACTTGTCATCGCTTTGCCGATATTGCCAGAAGAGTGCAACGTTGTCATGCGTGATCAAACTGCCAATTCACGGTTGCACTGTACTTTTCTCGCTCCCTGACCCTCCTCCCACCATCCGGCGTCAATGACACGTCGCGGGGAACACCCCGTGCACACATGTTAACACGCCGCTAATTTAGCATCTGCTCCGCCGCTTTGCATTCGGGTAAGTCGTGCCAGCTCCTCACCGTTGTATTTGAGTGGCCTCCTAGGCTTAATGGCTTTCGGTCAACAACTGCTGAGCACACGGATGCCCGACAGTACGTACACAGGCGCGGACTTCGCCCCGCAGACTACCGTGCCAGGCGCGGAGCTGCACAGCACTGTGCATGAGGCTGGACCGTGCGACCCGCCCTAATGCTGGCGCGCGACAACGACCCTCAGTCTCGTCGCCAGTACCTCCGTTAATGATTCCCACTCGCGATAGACAGACCGTCCACGCGTCCGACCGCGCTGCCTCCGACAACGCCGCAGGGCACCTAGCATCCGGCGGGCGTCGGCTGCCGGCGGCGGCAGCGTCGGCCGCGGCCGGCCCGGTGTTCGTGTGCGGCTGCGGCCGAGCCGTGCAGTCGCCGGCCGCCGCCGCCGTGCAGTGCAGTCGAGGGGCGCGCGGCCGCTCTCAGCCGTCCGCGAAAACGGGCCACTTCACACGGGACGGCCGGACGCTGCCGCAGGACCGCACCGCGGGCACCGAGCGACCCTGCCTCCCCCCACCGAGACACGGGGCACCGATCGCACGCGCTGCAGCAGCGGGGTCACCGGCGGTCGGGGACGACGGCCGTGGACATGGCGGGGCCCGACGCCGTCGGTGCGGTGCGGTGGGCGAACGCGAGCTTGAGCGCGAGGAAGGACGTCGCGCAGCAACTGGACGGGAGTGAGGAGCATTACAGTCAGGCGCCACCCGCGCACGGCCAGTCGACCGACGCGGCCACCGCCTCTCCGCCGTCGACCCAGCCAGCGAGCCTCCTCCGAGCGTCTTTCACTTTTCAATGTCGCTCACAGGCGACGACGAGAAGCATTTATGCAAATGCGCAGCGCAGCATAAGGGCAAACACAGGCGGCGAGTCAACAGAGGCGGCGGGCAGAGTCAACACTCGGCGGCGGCCGGGCGGCCCTCGACGCCGCGGCCGGCCCCGACCCGGCGCGGCGCCGTGCCCGTCTCCGGGACGGCCGGCCGGCCCATCAGCATGCAAATACGCCGGCCGTACGGCCCGACACGTCCGGCGGCGCGCGGCGGCGCTGACGCGGCGACCCAACACCCACGGCCTGGCTCCAGCGCCGGCGACAGATCACCGCCGCCGCCCGGAGCGGGGGCGGCCCGGCCGCAGCTCGAGCCGGCGCTGCTGGGGCAGGCGCGCCACGGCCGCAGCTCGAGCCGCCGCTGCTGGGGCAGGCGCGCCACGGCCGCAGCTCGAGTCGACGCTGCTGGCGAAGACACGCCACGGCCGAACCGGACGCGGCACTCAGCGGGGAGATGCAACGAACCTAGACATCACGTCGGCATCCTCCTCCCCTCCCGGAGAGGAGCCCAGTGAAGAGGCTGGTATATGGCGCCCAGCCCCGCGAGAGGTGGGAAAGCCTAAGCCGACCTCTGGGCGGTCGGCCGGCGTCCCCGACCCGGCGGGGCAAATCGCCGCGCCACGACCGGCGTCGAGGATCACACCCTCGGCGGAGATACGGAGCCCATCCGCAGACGGCACGGCCCTCTTCCAGACAGCGCCCGACACCTGGCTCGCACGCGGAGACG